TTGTGTGTTATTAAAGTTTTCCATCATTGTTCATGTCCCCCACGATGTAAAGTTTCTTTTGAATTATTGCGTATTAAAGGCTGAATGGAAAGAATAATAAATGCAGCTCTTAATCGAATGTAATGTACCTCTACTTTGGTCATTCCAGAAGTGTGAACGAATGTGTTTGTCCATTTGTACACATCGTCATACAACTTCATTTGCATAGTCGTTTTGTCTAGCTTATGAGTGATTATCTGTAGGGAAGAATGTGAAAAAAATATTCACCGTTTGTTCATCGTCATCTTCCATAGGAGATATTTACTGTTTCTTTTGTTGTAATAATTTTCTATTACTTTTTCACAATCGGTTGTGTGAAAATTGTCAGAGAACAGCCAGGTAAACTTTTGATAAGTTTTGAAATTGTTATGTATGCAAAACTACCGGATGTGAAACGGTGAAATTTACTTGTAAATCGACGTGACGACGTTAGCGATTACATGGAATTTCATTAGCGCTTATTTCCTCAACGTGTACAGTCATTTAGTCGATCTATGACTGAGTTCGGAATATTTTCTCTAGTTGATACCAACTGCTGGAGCCGTGTTCCTACACGAGTATCACGTCATGGCCATGAGCATGGTGTAGCGAAGAAGGCGGTGTTGAATTATTGTAAAGTCTTAGTTTATTCAAATGACCGCTCTAGGCAATGAATTACACGCGGGCGAAGCAATGCGTTGTGAAACCTAGCCTTGGAGTGGTTGTGCGTTAATTCATAGTTTTGAATCGTTTTTGAGTTATGTGTTTTATTCTGAACACCGCCATCAATTTTCAGGTATCGCGGAATATACAGGGGCAAAACCGGTTTGGTTCCGGTGGACTGCGTGGAAAAGATGCAAAGTGTGATGAACCCGGCGCCTCTTTCGCAGAACAGCACTTCGTTGACTAGTCATGAGAAAGACTACGTTTCGTTACCGCTTGCCAGTTACCAGATTGGTAAGATATTCCATACTTCGCAACATCTAACTGCTTCACTGACACCGTTTCACAGAAGACCGTACTAGTGTTTTTTGTTATTTCGATTCAGTGGTTAGAAGCAGTGAGTACAATGGAAAAGCGAGCATCTGTTAACGCACCGATCTCTTTGCTGAGTAGTCATCTTCAGCGTTTCAGTTTTTTGGCCCTACTTGTTTTCCCGTGTCTTCTTCTGTTCTGCAGAGATTTGAAATTAATTTTTTTTGCCTGTTGTGTTGATAACCATGGAACAAGAACATATGTTGTTTGAAGAATGGAAGAATCCAACGAATCTTTGCTCTTGTTGCAGGCCAGAAATATGCATTCCATGCATTTGTATATCATGAGAATCAGCCCGTGAGATTAAAATTGACCCGTTAAGGCTGTTGTTTCAGATTTTTCATGTATTGCATGATATCATAAATGCTGTTTAGTAATGAATGTGACGTGATCAACATACTTTAGACAGTAATGCTGATGTATACATTTGTTTTTTTCCCTTCCACCTCTTCGCGGTACGTACGTATGCTGTCTCATTTTTACATAGCATAGGATGCGAAACAGCCTATAATTTTAACATTTTCTTATAGATCGTAGCCTAATATTCTTCATTGTCAAAAATGAGGAGAGTTCTTAGCCTTATACAAAAAAATAAAACCCGATCTTATGGGTTTACTGGTATACTGCTAGATTTTGATAAGAGTTCTTAGCTTTATTGATCGTTAAACGGTACCTAGCTACATTATGTATCAAACTCGTATACCCAACAGAATTTCTTACTGTTAACATCTGACTGACGGGTAAACACTGTGTGCAGGCGCCACGAATCTCGTCTTTGGTTAAACTTTCCTCTCGAGAAAGTCGTTCGCGATTTGCGAACCCCATGCACAAAACCTGGAAACTTCCCCTGGACACATCTGTTTACGGCAGGAGTATTACCTTTACCGTAACAGTGAAATTTCAACAACAATAACTACAACAAGGTTTACTCTTTGCGCAGATTATTACACTGGATATGAATTATCAGGTAGGTCAAGGTGAAAAGTAGCCATAAGGAGAGCTCGCATCAGGCAGAATGGCCGTACCTCTTCACCATTCTCATGTCCTTTCACTAGAACACTAATTGACCGTGTTATTGGCAAGTCAGCGACTAGCTACGTGTTTCACCACTGGCGTTGAAACAGCATGAAGTAAATTCTTTGCTCAGAGGAATTCGCGAATAAGATAAGGATTATCCGTTTTTCAGATTCGAATCTAGCACCTCCAGTGGTTGTAGCCGACCTCTTTGCCACTGTGCCACTGCCTCTTCCCCACCTTCCTCTGTCTCAGCCCATGACGCTATTTTTGATAGTCAGAAATCACAATTCCAGGCTATTTTGTTGTTCAAGCCCTTAAATAATCGGTTGTTTTTTCTCTCGTTTGACGATTGCATCTTTACTGACTCGCATTGCGTCAAAAATTGGTTCGTTCACCGCTTGCGTTTCTGTTCATCCACTTACCGTTCCAGTGATAACATACAGCAACGTTAACATCCAATTATGTGAGAATGATGGAGAGAACTAGCACCAAGCGTATGTCGTCTAACAATTACTTGAGCGTGTATCCATCAGAGGTTTGTCATAAGCGAAAATGGAACGTTGTGTGATCTGAGAGCTCGGTGACCATTGGAGCAAAGTGACTAATCAAAACAGCATCAGAATTGATTACCCGTAGATTTTGACTCCGCCTTCCATTTGAAGAAAAAGGTTGCATTCTGTCGCTTATTATTGTATGTACCCTGAAGATTTTGCTGATTGCTAGTAACGAAACGCATCGTGGAACGATACATGATTGCTGTTTACTGTTTAGATTGTGGTGCAGTTTGAACTTCATATTAGCAAACTGAAGAATATGAATCAACGTTGTGTTCACTGTCGGTACAAGAGTAAAATTTTTCTTCTTGAGTAAGAGTACCTTAATCAGTGGTTGTTTCAAAGATTCCCAGTTGAGTTATTGTCGAACACATAAGGAAAAGTTTGTTCATGTATGAGTCTGATCAAATCGTCTAGGTCCGGTTGATCTCTTGATTGTTATTGCATGAATAAGCCGAGTTTCTGTTGAGTATATCCTGACCAAAATACGATCAAGCTGCTCTATCGGTGAACATTCCTTATTCTGTTTCTGACGCTTAATTAGTTTGCAGCCCATGAGTTCATATTTATTAATAGTTGCAAGAGTTTACGTTCAGAAATTGCTTCTTCGAGTAATTGTGGCAGAAAGGCATTTTTCCTAATGCTTTCGTATTTCAATCGTTGTTGCAGAGGAATGGGAATCTGATCGTCCATATGCATTTCGAATCTTCAAACAGACGTCGTGTTTTGACGTCCAAGAAGCAGAGCAGTTCATCATTGCTGCTGCCACGCGTGAAGATCAACTCGATTGGATCAATTCGTTCCTGCTCTTTTCCAGAAGTGTCAACGACAAGGTAAATCCTATGCTTTCGAAATTCGTACTGATCTTTTGCCTTTTTCTTGACAGTGTGTTAAAATTCAGAAAATATTGAAACTCTGACTTTTCATTTTACAGCACCTCTGATTAAAGTATTGATGACGACGACATTGATGGCCCCTTTTGTTACGAACGATAAGAGAGCTGTTAGTCGAAAAAAAACATTACGCATATCATTAAATAAAATAGCGAATACCTTGTACAGGAAGGTGTCTGTCAACGTATAGAATTGAACCCATTTTTGTTCTTGACGGTTACAGGCGCAATAGCTAAGAATCTGCAGGAAGCAGCCCAATGCTGTATGCGTTATGCCATTGCCGATGACGTTGTACTGAGCAGTGAAAACAGCGAAGCATTAGAAGCAAGAACCTAGTCATGAAGAAAGGGCATTCGGCTCAGCAGGGGCAAGTCAAAATATATGGCAGGCTATTTCAGAGGGGAGAAGAGAAAGAAAACCACGGTTCAATAAAAGTAGCCGAACCCAGGAGTTCGTGTATCTTGGTTCAGTTTTTCAAGACATATTGGGAAATCGACAGTAAATTTAGCAGTCGGTCGAAAAACGCGTGACTGCAACGTTGTGTATGATAGGAAGATATCCATCAGACTAAAGGGAAAGGTGGACCGGTAGTAAGACTGGCAGTGCTGAATTGAGCAGAATGTTTGGCTACTCTGAAAAGTTTTAAGCAACAGTTTAACTCTTTAAAAATGCGAATCTACAGATGCAGGTGTTGTGCTAATCAAAGGACCATATCCACCATCCAGAATACGTTCATAAGAGGGGCTATGCCCAAAATAGGCTGCTTTGGTTCGGTGCATGAAAAGAAGATCTCACCAATACGTTGAAAATGTGTTCCAGGCTCTGGTACTGCGAAGAATTAGACAAGACAAGGATGTAGGTCACAGATATGGTGAGACGATGTTGTAAAGGAGGATGTGAAACTACAAGGAGTGGTCAAGAATTTGACCAAGGAATGAAAAATGTAGACACAGTTGAACCGAACAGCTGACCCTATCAAAGTGGACATTTCAAGAAAAAGGTTAAAAGCTAAATGCATAAAAAAGTGGTAGACGCCTTTAAGTTACCAGAAGATTAAAGCAACGGTTTGATACTGCAGTTATGAAGCTGCAGAAGTGAGTGGTACCGACCATCTGGGCGACGATTCAGCTTGCGGTATCAGATTTTACGTATTCATCGAAAGCGCACATCAGCGTAGACATGACAAACTTATTATCGAGATTCTCAGACGATAGTAGAACAACAATGCCATATGCAGGATTATGAAGAGGCTTATGGAACTGACAGAATCTGTTCTTTTGTACTTTGAAAATACAAATGGATATTATTTTGGACCGCTAAATGACTGCTTCTGGTCTGAGGGCAAAATCTAGACGTTAATGTGTAAAATATTTCTTCAGTAGAAAATATAGTTACGAAATCCGAATGCAATCAAACAGCTTAATTAAAATAGGCCAAATTAGTGCAAGACGGTTTCTGAGGAAAACAGCAGAAAGGTAAAAGTTATGTAGAAGCTACATATAACCGAAAAA